GACGCAGCGCGCGCCCCCGGGGCTGCGTCGGGCGAGATATTACCTCTTTCACGAGCTCCATAAAGCTCATTTTTATCGTCGAAGTGGAAAATGGCAAAGGGGCACAGAAATCTTAAAAGAAACCTCTCTAACAACTGTTTTCCTTTCGTTTTTTCCAGTGCTTCTCAGGATTTTGAAGCACCCGCACATTTGAGTGCAGGCAAACCTTTGTCCTCCCTCGTATTTTGCCTTCCTCGTTTCTGAGGCGATGCCCAAAGTGAAGAGGAGCAGGAAGCCTCCCCCAGACGGCTGGGAGCTGATTGAGCCAACGCTGGATGAGCTGGATCAGAAGATGAGAGAAGGTAAGCAGCGGAGCTGGGTGTTCTCAGGGATCTGTCCCTGAAACAAGCTCATCCTTAACTGCTTCAGGAAGCACAGCTTCCCCTGCAAGTATAGATTGAACTTTTTTTATATCTCTGCCTCGCAGTGATACTGCAGACTGAGGCTGGGCCAGTACTGGTCGCTTTTCTCTGGGCGTACCCAGGTTACAAGGCACAGAGGTTTGGTGTACAGCTTAGGGCGCCCCATGGCCAAGCCCCGTGGAGCTGGCAGTTCTTGTCCGTGCCGTTGCTCTGGTCTGACGAGCCAGGGCAGCCATGAAGTCACCTGCCATCCCAGTGCGGGTCACGTCATCCCCACTGTCTTTCTATTTTCATTTCCTAAAGGAGCTGTTCCAGGTCAAGTCCATTTTGTCTGAACCTTCTCCCATTAAACTCGGTCTTATCTCTGTAATGTATTAAAGTTATGAACATTCTTGGAACAGTTTATTGCGAAGTGACTAAGGAAATAGGTTGGCCATCTGAAAGTCAGCTGAAACCTGGTGTTTGTGTTCCCTCCCAGCGGAGACTGAGCCTCACGAAGGGAAGAGGAAAGTGGAATCCCTTTGGCCTATCTTCAGAATTCATCACCAGAAAACACGTTACATCTTTGATCTGTTCTATAAGAGAAAAGCTATCAGCAGAGGTGAGGAGCGCAAATGCTTTACCCTGGGCAGGGGAAAACAGTACACAGTAAGATGTCCACTTGCGGATGTGCCTGAACTGGGGCCTTGGTGGGAAGGATCAGGTTTCTGGGGAGGGAAGATGGAGGGAAGGCCGGCGGCGGCCTGGCTTTAACTGCTAGTTACTACGGCTAGTAATTCCTGATAGTGAGTCTTCTAACACTTCTCCAGAGTGACTTGTGATGGTGTCTCCTCCTCTACAGAGCTCTACGAGTACTGCATCAAGGAAGGATATGCTGACAAAAACCTGATTGCAAAATGGAAGAAACAGGGTTACGAGAACCTCTGCTGCCTGCGGTGTATCCAGACGCGGGACACCAACTTCGGAACCAACTGCATCTGCAGGGTCCCCAAAAGCAAGCTGGAAGTGGTAAGGGTTTTCAGCTTGTTCCTCTACTTGTCCGGACCCGTGCAGTACCTGGTCTAACTCCTCCCCAGTCAGGGAGAGCAGAGGAGGTAGTGCTGTTCTTTTGGGTAATTTCCTCTAGTTCTTAACATTTTCTCTCTATGCTGGTGGAGTTGGTACCTGGTTGGTTCTAAAGTTACTGTCAGCTTTGGCATGCAGTCATTTAAAGTCATTCATTAAAGCATGGGAAACAACAGAAAACTAGACAGTAGAAACCCTTCCCACACAGACCCATTCTCTGCCTGCTGGTCTGTCTGCTCACCGTAGCTTGGCTGAAATACCCTCCTCCTGTTTCTTTTCCAGGGAAGAATCATTGAATGCACTCACTGCGGATGCAGAGGCTGTTCTGGGTGAAGCCTTTAGCTTTCAGACTACAAAAGACTACTTTTTGAACTCTGAGGGATTATCATCCTACACAACGGACTATTAGTGCAATTATAGCCACCTTCTGTGTGATTGGGTATTTCTGTACAGCGATTAAGACAGCAGCATATTCATCTGGATCATATATACAATGGTGGTTGTTTTGGAGTAGGTTTTTGTGTAGCCATTTATTTTAAAATAAAGTCTGCCTTATTGAGAGTGGTGCAATCTTCTGGCAAACCATTTCTATGCCCCTTTTCTCCTGTTGGATGTGTTTTGGTTGGTTTGTTTTAAGGTTGCTCTATTTACTGTGAGGTATTCTAAACCTGGGTTGTTTTTAACCAGCTCTTATCCTTCTTTCTCAACTAACTGAATTTAAAAGGCTGTGTGGGAAGGAAATAATAGAGTCCTCAAAACTCCAGTCATGATTTAAGCTCTCCCCTGATCTTGTGTAGAAGGAAGCTAAATTTCACTGGAACTCTCTGCTAAGGTTTGTAACCTGGAACCAGTGCGTGGATCGATTCAGGAAATACACACAGAACACAGGAAAGAGACAAAGCTAGCACTGAGCTAAACCACTGTTAAATCTGATCTTGCTTCTCCCTTGTTTAGCACAGGCTTTGGTGAACTCCAGCCTATGTACTCCTCTGCAGTTTAAGGAAATTCCCTGAAAATGTATTTGCTTCTCCTTAAAACAAAGGACAAGTATTTTATTATGTAGTTATCGCAAGAACTTGGATTCATGGAAATACAAAGCAGCTTTACTACAAGACAGTTTAAGGGAGCAAGTTCCCAGTTCTTCCAGCCCAAGGAAGATGCAGGACTTCAGCATCCTGCTCGCTGCTACTTCTGCCCTGGCTGCTCCTCCGCAACCTCTTCCTTATTGTCATCTGCCGCACGTTTCGCTGTTCTGTATTTTTCCCAGGGGTGAGGGGTCTCCTCTCCTGCCATTACTTTTAACCACCGATAATAGTAGCCGCGGAAACCATCAATTTTCTCCAGGTATGTGTTCTTTGACTTATACTGCAAACAGAAATCCAACAAAACAAGTTTCTATTAGAAGAGAGCTCACTTCAATACAAGCATGCAATAGCTACAAGCTGCTACTAAAGAAACGGCTATCGAGTAACTGTCAGCCGCATCAGACAAAGCCAAAGGAAAAAGGCTGAGGCAGACATCTACATTTCCTCTCCTTGTTGGTGTCCTTCGTGATGCCTTCACACTCTGACCAGTTGTGGCTACTTACCCTGTCAAATTTTGGAGGGTACTGTGCTGCAAACTCCAGCTGGCGTATGATAACTTCATTGGGAGGCACCTGATTATTCCTCATGTCTCGCAGGATCTCTGTGAGGTAACTGTAATCCAGCTGCCTCACAGCCGCAGCAATGAGGGTGCTGTAGATATACTTGTTGGGAGTTACTCCAGACCTCTGGAAACAACAAATGCTACGGTTAAACTTGTTTATCTGTCGACTAGCGCAGGACTTGTAGAAGGAAAAGGCATACAGGCACTTCTTACACAGGGAGCAAGGCTCTCGCTCTGGAGCCCGTGTAGCAACTTCTGCAGTGCCAGCACACCCCCTCCTCTCCTGTCCCAGTGCAGGTACAGGACAGACACCTCAGCTGGCACCTACTCTAGAGCTGCACGTTTTTGGAGTGAGAACACAACCACTCACCACAGAAACCTCAGCAGCTCTTTTTAGAAGCATTAACACTTCGGTTTGCTTCTTCCTGCAGCTCGACCCCCAGGCACCAGAGTTCATTACCTTCAGATCTGCGAGTAACTGCAGTCCATCCTTCTCTCGGTGGCAAGCAATTGCCAAGTTACAAAATGTCTGGAGGTTAGGCGACAGTCCCCTCTTCACCAGGGCTGGCAGCATGCTCTGCAAGATAGAAGTGTTGACATCAGTTTCCACAGAGTCTCACTGTAGGTTTCCAGACAGAGAGCTGAAGGTGCTAGAACAGAATCCGTAACTACTTAGAAATTAACCTGAGCGTTGGTTTCAGGAAAACAGTGGGAGATTCCCAGTTTCTATTGCGGATACAGAAACAGGTCTCACAGCAAAACACAGGTAACACTGGAGGCCTGAGACAAGGAGGTGGTGACAAGGCTGGTTCTGAGTTTTTTCCTCACCTTTGCTCCTTCCAGATCTCCCTGTTTACTTTTCTTCCTTATTAAAGTGTTAAAGAAGGTCACATCTACTTTCACTTTATGCTCATCTAGGAGCGCTAGCAAAGAGGACTCGGAGGGGCTCTGGGGTTCCACCAGCTCAGCCAGTAATGTAAACGTTTTAATGTTGGGTTCTGCATTGTCCTCTTTCATTTTACTCAAGAAGCCCTCCACGTCCCCCATCAAAGCCAGTCTATTGGACGGTGTGGCCACTGTCCCCAAGGAAACTACGGCTGCATCAGGCATCCTGGCATCCAGCAAGTTGGGCAGGTTGCAGAAACGCTGCTTCTGGTTCAGGCGTGCCTGTTCCTGCTCCATCTCGTTCTGTCCTCTCCTCATCAATGCTCCAGTCCTGCTGCAAGCTACGCTGGGGCTGTCGAGAGCAGCTGGTTCTGTTTCAGCCCGATTCACATCTTTATTTTGTTGCCGGATCAGTTCTTCAGGCTGCACTGAACTCTCCCAAAATAATTGCTTTTCCATAGCTTCCACATCCAGCTGGACAGCAGCTGCACTCTCTGATCCCTTCTTCTGATTTTTCACCTTTTCCTTCTGCCTCCCGGGTGCAAGCCTTAGCTGAGATGAGTTCTCGTGGGTGGGTCTGAGCAGGAGTTCAGAAGCCACGACCGGATCGCCTATTCCACAGTCTCTCGCAGCACGCAGCATCAAATTGTAAGTGTGGCTATTGGCCTTTATTCCAAGTTTAGTCATTTGTTTCCAAACCTGAAAAGGGGAAGATGAACACCAGATGTACGTGATACTAAATAACAGGAGTATTTCTAGCAGATTGTAAGCCTATCTACCGAGCCCACTGTTAAAATATCTACTTGCAGAAAAGGAGCGAGTTTACAGCATGACGAGGTGAGATGCCACTGGACAGTGAACAGCCACCTCGAGCTAGTACAGTCCTGCGAGATCACCCAGGGTGGTTTACGAGACCTCCTGATGGAGGTCTAGTTTACAGAACTTCTAGGAGGAGCTGAACTCCTCCTATTTCATCAGCTCTGAGTGACCTGCTGCCTTCTGTGTGTTCAAGTGACGAGTTACAATATGGAAGCACTGTTTCCTCCCCATGTAGTATATGAAGACAAACCTGTAAGGCGTATCGGAAGCCATTTTCGCTGTCCTTTATGCAGCTCATGAGAAGGAAGCTGAAGGTCTCGGCTGTGGGAATGTGGCCCTTCTGCACAATTTCCTAGCAGAGCAGAGAGAGCATTAAACTTCCCGGTTACCCAAACAGTCTGTCCCAGCTGGCTGTGAAGCTCAACTACGGCTGTTGTCTTCTGGGCATACAGCAGCAACAAAGCACAGGGTGAACTCCCAGTGCTGCGACGGAACGATTGCTCCAAGGGAAAGAAGGGAATCTGAGGGCAGGAACAGCAATCCTTTTAGCTACTCCCAGACTAGCCTGTCTGAAAAGAGCTGCTGTAAGAGCTTTAAAAGGAACTACGTATCAGTATCTGGGCCTTCAGAATGAGGGACGGAGTCAGACACAGTAGCTGTGAACCCCACAAAACACAATTGACCGGAGTTTTAAAGCCAACCTCTGTTTAAGGCTGCAGCTGCCTCTTTTATGTACTTAAACTTTATGTTTGATATGTACCAAGACGATTTCATTGTATGAGACCAAGGATCAATGAAATATAAACACGTGATCTGTAATTACCTCTGCTGGCAATGAAATAAAACAGTGTGCAATATGGCAACTTCCAGGAGCTTTAACCAGAGCAGACTACACTTAATATAAAAAAGTTGTGTACTTACCTTCAGTACATCAAAGCACATCCTGAGATCTGAGCACAGGGCACAGACCTTCAGCAGCGCATGGTAAGTGATCAGGTTCAGTTCTTCATTTTTGCTCTTTAGCTGCTGCCGTAATTTGAGCGCGCTCTGCAGGCCCGAGTCTTTCCATGGCGATTCAGCGCAGGCATTGAACAGGGCTGTGTAAGTGGCCTCAGTGGGAGTTAAGCCTCGTTTTTTCATCTGAGGGAAGATAAGAAGAATTGGAACTGGCTTTTTAGGGAAGGACTTCTAGAGTTTCATAACTTGTTTTTAAGAGTTTCAGGCTAAGAACATGCAAACGCTAACTCAAAGGCATTCTGGAGACAAAGTAACATGACCAAATGCTTGGAACAGTTTTAGCTTAGAAAACCTGATGAAGGTTTGAGAGAGGAGAGAACATAAACCTACATCATTGTAGAGCCTGAATGCCTTTTTCACGTAGCCAACCCTGCCACAGCCGCCAATTAGAACAGTGTAATTGCTTTCTTCCTGC